TTTTTTCGGAACCCTCACCCGCAGCTATAAATCAAGGACTCTTCCCATGGCGATAAGAATGACAACCGTCAACGGATCCTACTTTATTATTCTGCGACTAAGCCCAGGATGCAACCGTCAAGCTCGAAGGTCAAAAAGCCATGGACCGAACACAGTAGCCTAGTGCAGATGCGCTATCGCCGGAAAGGGACGCTGCAGCGTATGTTGCGTAGGTATTTCAATGACTGTCACTGCAATGGCGTCTACCTTCTCATCCATGAAGACAGTCGCTACTTTACAATCAATTTTAACAAATATGAGATCCCAGGCAGCCACTTTCCACCGCCGGATAAAGATATAGTGAGTGGCCTTATACCTGCAGAAAGACGCCGCGCTTACAGGAGACAGGAGAAGTATTACCCTCCTCCATCCCGAACGACGTGTGAGAATTACCGGAAACCTCGCAGGTCCAGAAAGGGGGGCAAGCAAAAGAAAAACGGGGCGCAAACGTGAATGGGAGGGCAGCAGCCCTAGATCATACCTTAGGGTTTACAGTCATAAGGGTCGGCATCGTCATTCTGTTACCACTCTGTATTTATATCGAGTACCCTACTACACTTGTTGAGGAAAATGCTCGGACATGTGCCACTATTGGCATGCGCCTTTACCAACGTGTGCCTGTACTATTCCTGCTAAACGGTCAGCAAGATGCGTCCTCAAGCTTTCAATAAACATTGCCTACCGGCAAACACAATACTGCAATTATTGCCCGCTGCATCCACATGGAGGCACTCCTTCACGGCGCTGATTTCAGCCGCCGCTAGTTTCTCTGGAGTCGGGAATGCCGATATGAATTGTGTTGCCCGTGTGATCGCCCTGTCACCTCTTGTTCTATTCATGAAAATACAAACCACCAACAGATGGAACTATGTTGTGGTTAGCCGCTGCAATGTGATGGTAGAGACACACGAACCGGATTATCAGCATAGATTTCCTCCACCAGCCCATAAGTGGCATTTGAGGTTGAGTGAGGAAAAGAAGATGGTGGCTGGCGTAGTGCAGACATTGTGGGATAACTGGCGAATATGGTCTCCTTCAAAATGCACCACGCTGCGGGCACCTTAACTATTCCATCTAGTTTGTGGAATACCAAATATAATTACTGTGGCTTGATCTGGATATGTCAGGTAGCAAGTCTGGATGGTGACTGGAACTGTGTCATGGAACAAGGATTATCCGACCGGACCGGGCGGTGGCGGCATTAGGGTTAAAAATAAATCCATAATAGATATTGCTATCTAAAACAACAAAAAGCAAAAAGAATCCAAAATAGAGAAAGTTCAAAAGTAGAATACCGCCACCCTGAGTGCCCCGCTGGCGGGGGAAAAATAATAAAGTTAATAAAATAAAAAATAGCAATAGTGAAGAGGGAATATTGTTTCAACTGAGAACAAAGAGGTACGGTTGCCCAGTTTCATCCCCAGGGTGCAGCGGAGTAATCGTCATCCACCACAGGTAGCCTAATGAACCAGTCTGATGACGGTGTGTGGGTGTCGCGGGTTCCATGAACATCAGCAAGGGGGAAAGAACGCTGGGACTGAGAAGTTTGCATGGCTATGCCGTGGTAGACCGTGGGGTCGCCGCTATATCTGAAGGGATAGAAAATGGACGATGAGGTTAGATAGGGGCCCGTGGCTTTGCCGGCTGGTGGATCTAGGTGTTGGTCTTTAGCTGGGGAAGGCAATCCATGGAGGTTTGTGGCTGTTTGGTAAGGGGCATTGCAACTAGGAGTACCCGGCTGGTTATTGAAATGGTGCGTAAATTGCTCATGCTCGGGTTTGATTCCTGTGATGGGAACGAAGGCAGGTCGTAGCTCAAATGGGTTTGTCATTGCCATTGCATCCTTCCTTTCCATTGGGGAGACTGATTCTTCAATCTCTGGCGAGCTGGTCAGTCGACGGTTTTTGGAATGTATTGGATTTCCCAACTCGCTTGGGCTTTTGGAATCTCGGTCTGAGTTACGTTTGGCGCCCTTCCTGACAGTAACATAAACCAATGTACTTGCATCTGCACACCATGTTAAGATCAGATTGATATTATGACTATAAGGTACAGATGGATGGACCTACCAATCTGTTCATCCTCATAGTGCTCCTCCATTTCCCTAACTCGATATATCTCCTCCAACACTGCTGACTTTTCACGTGGCTTTAGCCGGCGTTGTTGGACATCCTCCCCAGCTTCCCTCAGCTTACGGACGGTCATGCCCCGAGCTTGACGAAGATTGCGGAGTATATGGATAAGAAGCTTGATCCGGTCTGTCAAAAAATAAGTATATGAACAGCTAGAAAGTTAGATCTCATGAGTATCATACCAATCTTCTTCAAATGATCAGGCTCCTTATGTATCACGCCGGCGGGCCACCAGGATGGTTTAGTTTTTTCAGGATCTCTTTCTTCCCCCGGAGCAACTTTGCCTCCGTTATAGGGATGTCTGGCCTGCTTCCGCGGTTCGATGGCCTTGATATAGGCCTTGGCAATCTGACGGCAGTTAAGTTGCTGAAATGCTTTGAAGGCCTCTGCATAGTAGGCTATGACCCTGTCCTCATCTCCAATTGGGATGCCTATCATGTCCCTTGGATCATCACCGAAATCATTGTCAGTCTCAGATTCGTCTGTTGGATAGTGTAGGGAGCGTTGACGTTTCTGTGAGATGGATGGCTTCCTGGAAGGCATATCGACGCTACATAGTCTTGGGAGTGGGCGGCGTAGGTTTGGATTCATCGGGTCTGTATATCCCCTTAGATAAAGTAGCAAGGAAACTTTCAGGGATACCGGTACCTTGTGTTTGACTGACACATTGCTGAAAGTGGGCCTTCAAATTTGTGGGGAATAGGCGGTTGTGAAATGGTAGCATTGACGGCGAGAAGTCATATTGAACCTCCTTAGACTCATCTAAATATACCATTGCATAATGTGTATATGGAATCTTATCCCAAGAGCACACTGCGCCCTATTATTGCCTATATCATTCCGCATTAGTTAAGTGGG